GGGTCATCATGATAGAGAAATGCTCAACCAGTTAATCACCCTTGAAAGCTTGCCTGTACATTACATCTGTGTCTACAGTTGTTGCTCACAGCTGGACACGTTTTTCTCTGTGATCTTGTTTTCTTTGTGTTCAGACCATGGCTTGATAACCCATAGATTTTCCCTTTGCTAAGATAAGAGACAACATATGGCAGGAAATTCCCCCCCTGTGACACAACCACTTTCTCCTTGTGCCTTGAAGCTGTAACATCGCAGAGGGTAAGGCCAAGGGCTAAGTCTTCCTGCCTTCTGAGTCTTCTAAATGTCACACTGTCAAGTGGTCTGCTACCTATGAAAGATGATAAAAATAAAAGCTGACCTATAGAACCAGTGTAAAAGGCAAGCACCCCTCCCCCCCACACACACACACACACTGACTGATATTCCAAAAAAAAAGAAACAAACAAAAAAACCCCAGCAGTTGTAATCTATTGCTGGTTGATTTTTTTGCTTCCAGCTCTTCCTTTTTTCTTTTTTTTTTTTTTTTTGCTTTTTTGTTTTTAATTTGTACAGTCATTTCTCCGCATTTGCGGTTTTAAATTTTGCTAATTTGATTGTTCATTGACCTTTGACTTCCAGCTGCATTTGACTTCCAGCTGCATTTGACCATAGAGTCATGCTGCAACACCTAGAAATTTATATAAAGCTTTTCTCTCAGATTAAAAAAAATTGCATTGTTTCACTTTCACATCAGTCCTGTTCTCCAAACTCCATTGAATGAAGAGGGCTAACTGTAGTTATTGTATTTATTTGATTCAATGACACAATTTCCCCCCTATATAAACATCTCTAAAAATAGGGTGCGTCTTAGAATAATGGATGCTTTTTAATATATGAAAGCTTTTTCTCTTTGTGGTATTTAAATTAGTGTATCTTACAATAGCAGAAAAATAATATTAATAAAGTATTTCAACTCCAGCATTGTACTTGAAAAGTAGGATATCAGTATTATAAATAAACATATACTACCTGTATCCCCCTTGATAGACATTGCAAAAGGTAGGAAGAATTCGAAGTCCTAATTCCTTGATAAAACATTCAGAGCAGGTTGTAATTGGAATAACTCTCAAGTAACTGGGGAAAGGAGATTGTTGGTGATAACAACCTTTTCAAGTCTCCTCTATTTAATGTTATGTCTGTTTATAATGTGTCCTTTTAATTCCTGAAGTGTATTCTTCTTTAGTTTGCGACCTCCTTAACTCTATTTACTTGAGGCAGTGGGTGGGGCTGCAGATCATTTGACTGTTTAGAATGCTATTTTAAAAGGATGAAAATTGAGCCTTGAGCCAGCTTGAGTATAGAAGACTTTCTGAGCACAGAAGCCAGTGTAGGAAGTTAGAAAACTGTTGATGCATGTATTCTTTGAAAGTACTCTTATGAAAGAGAACTGTACAGAGCAATATAGTTTTTGATGAGACTGTGAAAGACAATAAGTTAAAGATACAATCTGAAACCTTTTAAAGTTTAACCTGGCAAGAAATGTGCCTGCATACTAAAATACATGAAGTTATGAGTAAAGCATACTTGTTATTTTAAAAGGCGTCTACTTGAATCTTTGTCTGCTGAGAGCATCGAATAGAAACAAGGCATCTATGTTCTCAGTAATAATCAATTAATCAATAAACTAAAGGAACACCTCCATAACTCTGTTACCTAATAGGTTTTGATCCTAACAGATCATAATCCATAATCCCCAATAGGTTGTGATCCTAACAGGTCATCATCCTTCTCCCAACACAGATAAACAAAACAATTTTCTTTGTCTTTAATAATTGGTTTCTATAAAAATGTTGGGGTAATCCATCAATATTCAGAAGATGTTTACTGTTTGTAACCTTTTATTGTGTGATACTGTTAAATTTGTTTTTTAAAAAGCAGTTTCTTGCGCTTAATATGTCCCTTTAGACTGAGCATTTATTGTAAATCTGTGGTGTTTATCCAAGGCTGCCAGCTTCTCAGGTTGACAGTTTCAGTGGGTAATATAAATCTCAGGGCTAAATTGAAATCGGAAATTAGCATAGTCCTTGCCATGGTGCATTTCTTGTCTTTTAAGGGGAGAAATAGAGGTAAGAAAGATTTTTTAGAAGCTGCTTTGCCATTTCCTTGTGTTGCAAAGAATATTTAATTAGCTATAATTGTTTGCATTGGCTTATTCTTGCACCCTATACTTTTAAAAATACTTTGAGTAATGGTGCGCACCAAAGAATTTTAGAAGAAAATCAGCCTGTGTTTTATAGATTATAGCATGCTATTAATTGTGTATATCATGACAAATTATGAATTGCTCTTAAAGAAATGGGTATACCCTCGTATTTAATTGTTCTGATGTGCAACATGCACAAGGACAAGAGAACTGTAATATGGAGAAAAGGAATGGTTTCGTGTTGATAAGGGGATCAGGCCAAGCTACATTTCATTACCCTATCTGTTTATCTTGAACACTGAACATGTATACATACAGTGGGATTAGACTCAGGGGAAGGAGGCATGAAAATTGCAAGAAGGAATATCAACAATTTAAGATGTATAGCTGATATCCTATCACTAGTGGAAAATAGTAAATATTTGGAATGGTTACTGAAGAAAGTCAAAGCAGCAAGTGCAATGGCAGGTTTACATTTGAATGTTAAGAATACAAAATTAATGATCACAGATGGTTTACATCACTTAGAAACTGACATCGAATATCTCAAAATAATTCAAGATTTTCCATACCTTGACACAATTATCAATCAGAATGGAAATTGCAGTCAAAAATTAGAAGAAAACTAGGACTTGGAGCAGCAGCTAAGAAGGAACTAGATAAGATTCTGAAGTGTCGAGATATATAACTGAATATTAAGGTTTTGAATATTTGTGTCATCATATTCCAAATATGACAGCCGACAGGGAGCTCTGGCGTGGGCTGGTCCATGAGGTCACGAAGAGTTGGAAATGACTGAACGAATGAACAACAACAACATTCTAAATACTATGTGTGATTGTAAAAGCTGGACAATAAAGAAAACTGATAGGAAAATAATAAACTCATCTACAGTTTTGTAAAATATCAAAAAGATGAGTAGAGAAGGGCGGGGTACAAATATTTGAAATTAATAAATAATAAATAAATAAGTGGGTGCTAGAGCAAGTCAAGCCTCAACTCTCAATAGAAGCCAATATGGGTAAACTGAGGGTGCAGCTACACACTGTAGAATTGCTGCAGTTTGGACACACTTTAGCTGCCATGGCTTAATAATATGGAATCCTGGGAATTGCAGTTTTCAAAGTCTGTAGCCTTCTCTGCCAAAGAATACCAGGGCCTCACCAAATTGTAACTCCCATGATTTTATGAATGAGATGAACAATGAAGGCATTGGTTTTATATGTATTATATGTTTTAAATGGTTTAATCGCATATTTTTATAAACTCGCTTTAAATGTTTTAAATTGTGCATTGTATACTGTTACAGCACCGAATGGCTGCCGGGTTGTAAGTTGCCTTGAGTCACTTTTGGGTTTGAGAAAAGCAAGATAGAAATAGTGTAAATAAATAATAAAAAATAAGTTTATACCATTGAAAATTGGCAATAGAAATCATAGAATCAAAGAGTTGGAAGAGACCTCATGGGCCATCCAGTCCAACCCCCTGCGAAGTAGCAGGAATATTGCATTCAAATCACCCCTGACAGATGGCCTATCAGATGGTGTCAAACTGCATTAAATTTACAGTGTAGATGCATTCTGATACTTTAATGCTCAGGACATGTCACAAGAAGACATGACTCACTGGAAAAGGCAATAATGCTTGGAAAGATTGAAAGCAGGAGGAAAATAGGAGGGCCAGATTCCAGTTAGATAGATTCAATCAAGGAATCCACCTCCCTGAGTCTACAAGATCTGACCATCTTAAATTCAAGTCAACTTGATTGCCATTAACAACTAAGTAGATATTTTAAAGTAGAAGCTTTTATTTCCATTGGGAAAAAGAATGGTTGTTTCCCCCATGTCAGCAACAGATTGTATGTTCATCGCAAAATGCATCCTCTGTACATCCTTCAGTTAGCAAACTTATGTATTGTATTGGACTACAGTAGAGTCACGCATATCCAACCTTTGCTTATCCAACATTCCGTATTATTCGACGTGCCTTGGCTGCTTCTGTCTTGGAAGAATAAATTCAAGGTTCTTCCTCTTCCTCAGAGAATAAAAACAAGGCTTCCCTTCCTTCCTCCCTCCCTCCCTCCCTCCCTCCCTCCCTCCCTCCCTTCCTTCTCTGGCGCCTGCACTGGACTCCGCTTCACTCCTTACTGTCTCTCTCCTCCTTGGGGCTTCGCATTCAGCCCAGGCGAGGCTTTGGAGAAGTGGCCTCTGTGTGGGTAAAGGGGGAGCCCCACTGAGGCTGCCCCCTCGGCATCACTCTCTGGCGCTCTTAGCCTCAGTGCCCATCCTCACCTCGTTCCCCTCCCTGCAGCACCGGCCAGTCTCTCCTTCCCTCCCCCTTTTCTCTCCTCCCCCTCACTCCAAAAGAGAAATGTTTGCTTTATGGAAGAGGGAGGGAGAGAAGGAAAGAGGACGGGCACAGAAAGCAGGAGGCAAACCCTCCCTTTGCTCAAGTTTAATAGGCCTTTGTATTATCCGAGATTTTCACTTATCCAACATTCTGGCAGCCCATTTATGTCAGATAAGCAACACTCTACTGTGATTCTAAATAATTAGAGCTATGTTGCATATTAGGAAATCATAAATATTCATCAAGATAATTGTATTTAGGATGTCTGTATGTTGTTTTTTTTAAAAAAAATAGCATTTAAAAATGGACCCTTCAAAACGACAACAAAAAATTGATAAAGCAAAAAATTTAAAACATTGAAGAGGGAGAGGGAAATTTAAGCTTAATGATTAGTATTTGATGGCACCAGAGATGTAGATAGCTGATTTCCCACTACTGACTGTTTTTTGCAATCTGTTTTATGTTGCAGATGACAGCATCAGACCTTTTACACCAGAGCAAGCCAAAGAAATTGTAATGTCTCTCCAGAAACCTGCCGTCTTCTGCAACATGACTTTTGACTGGCCAGTACTTCATTGGAATGTTTCATATCTTGCTAATCTATTTAAAGGAAAGAGAATACGTTTTAGAATAGGAAAAAAGGATATGGGGACAGGTAAGGAAAACAGAGTGAAGTGTGCAATCTCTCAATTCGTGGCAAGTCCTCCAAGTTGACTTTATGGTGGTATTGCTTTTTGTTTGTTTTCAGTAAATTTGTGTCTCCATTGGGAAAAAATGGGATATAAATAGTACTACTACTAAAATCACTGATTCTAGCTTCAAGCATTCTGGAATAAAACGTCCAAAACCAGCTCTAGAAGGATTAGAAAGAGTGAGCTTGAGAAACTTTCCTAGAAACTCAGCAAAATGGATACCACCAAAGATGTTTTGATGTTCCAGTTTCTATTTCTGATAGTAGTGGCAATTATGGCAAGATGTAAGAATGCATGAGGATTTTTACAGTAGAGGCTTTGTGTAAAAGTTCGCAGATTCTGGAAAATTTTGAACATTAAATTTATTGAATTAAGCTCTGAAAATAACTGGCAACTACTTAGCTTTTTTGTCTTACGTATCATGTTTTCTGTTCAACCAGGACCATCAACCAACAGACTGTCCAGATGAATTATCATGTGGTATTTACATATACAAATACATTACAGTATGTTTTAAAGGGCATGCACAAGGCTTCTTTTACAGTGAACGGACGCTGCAGAGGACGATGACCGATAAATGATCCATAAAACATAGTGTGATGCAATTATTTATAGAGGTATACTGCCCATAAGGGAGTGAAAGGAAGTATGTGTGGAAAAGGAGAATACCTTTTAGTTTTAGGAATGCCTATGTTAAGTAAACCATCTTTCAGATGTATTTTTGTGAGATATATTTTGAAAGTTCTGTACCAAATCAATGCAATAGATTCTTACTGTGGTTTGGAGGAATAAAATGGCATATAATATTCTATGAGCAAGCTTGTTTTTCCTTTTCCCAGTGGTATCCATTCCAAGGCACCTTTGGACTTCATCTACATCAGTGGATTCAATCTGTGTTAAAACACATTCAGAAATTTATTGGTGTCTAATTTGGAAGCCACCTTGAATCCTCTGCTGGGAAAAAGGTGGGATGTAAATTAAATAAATAAATGCATCTAGATGTTCTGTGTTGTAAATGCAGATCCTCAGCCCTAAACCTTTTGGCATGCTTCTTTAGAATTGCCGATGGAGTGAAATGATTAACAAAGACATAACAATGACTTTCAGTGGATTTGATAACCTCTTTCAGATAACAGGAGCCTGAAATCCACAATAATAGATCTAATTCTGGGAAAAGATTCTATCTTTAGGTCAAAGTCTTTGTGTATCTTGCCAGAACAGACAGTCTAAGGGACAATCTGTTTTTCCTGAGGCAAGATGCTGTTGCATACTAAAACAAAATGAAGATGCCGTTAAAGAATTTCCCCTTCAAGTAACTAGATGTATCTTTTCTCATCAAGAAAAATGATTCTAAAAGAATGCATGATTTACACAAATAGTGCCACGTATTAATGTGTAATGTAAAACTGCTCTCTCAATTGCTTTTTTCTGTGCCTTTTTTCTTCAGGCTGATATTGTCAAGATTTCTGCATTTTTCTGATTTACTTATTCCATTATCATTGGCTGACTGTCCTGGTGATAGTTTTTAATTATTCACTTTGTACCTAATGAATAATTTTGTATTTCTTGCTGAATCAGAGATGAATTAAATCAAAATCTCTGGTTTGAGGGACATGAAATTAGCAATGAGGTTTTTTTTGTCTATGCCATTAATATCAGGGTTTTGAAAAGGACATATCCATATCTTGAAAGACTGCACATTACTTGATTTCCAATTACTTTCCCTGCTTCATCTTGGGATCATGTGGTTCTCTGTACATGCTATTCTTTTTTAAATATTTCACATATTTTAACTTTTTTGATTAGCAGTTCATTTCTGTTCACATTTTGTGTGCAACCAGCCCTCTGTATCCACAGCTTCTGCATCCACAAATTCACTCAACCAGTGTTCAAAAACATGCAAACAAAATTCTAAAAATCGAACATTTGCATTGTTCACCATTGTATTTATAAGGCATGCCATTTTACTTAAAGGGACTTGAGCATTCATTGTTTTTTTTTTATCCATGGAGGATCCTGGAACCAAACCCAAGTAAATACTGGGTGCCCACTTTAATTCTGATTCCCATCAACTCATATGTTTAAAAGACTGACAAGTCTTAGATTCATAGTTTTTAATGAATTTAATTATATGTAAAGAGGCAAATGGGTATAATGGTTTAAAGCTGGTAGGCTGTTAGGGATTGTGGGAGTTGAAGTACAAAACTCCTGGAGGGCCGAAGTTTGCCCATGTCAGCTTTAAAGTGTGGTTAATATATGTCTGCTATGCATATGGGGTATGATGTACCCCTTGTATCATGGGTAGGCCATTCTGAAAAATGCTGTGTGCTTGTGCGTGTATCTGTCTATTCACGTAGACACACAAGGAGAAATAAATGGAAGTTCACATTTGTTTTCTTTTTTAAATGTGTTTTTAAAAGTTAAACCTAAGAGAGACTCAAACACATTTAACAGCCATTCGAGCAGAAGCCATTCACTCATTTTGAGCCAACAGGATAAACCAGAGGGTCTGAAGTAATCAAGAGTGAAAACTAGTCTTGGAGGATGCATGCAGCCCAAGAATTATACCGTGACTAAAGCTGCCTTATAGAACCCTTTTAACACCACACATCTGTAGTACTGTGATTCCATTTTAACTCTGTTGGGAGGGCATCCTACAAAATCCTTAGGTGTTTAATTTGGTGAAAGGCATAATGTTGAGGCAATGATAAAAAAAACCCCTATCAATTAAAGATACTAAAAGACCCGACTAACTATAAAATAGTGGCTATATACAATATCTGCCCTTGTCAAGTGCATCCTACCAGATGTGCAACTCATTGTCCTGAAAGTAAACATTCTAGAACAGTGGTTCTCAACCTGTGGGCCCCCAGATGTTTTGGCCTTCAACTCCCAGAAATACTAACAGCTGGTAAACTGGCTAGTATTTCTGGGAGTTGTAGGCCAAAACATCTGGGGACCCACAGGTTAAGAACCACTGTTCTAGAGCTTAAAAAGGTGTGTGTGTGTATATATATACATGCTTTCAAGTTACATTTCAACTTATGGCAACTCCATACATTCCTTAGTGTTTTCTTTGGCATAGAATAAAGGATACAGGGTAATGGAAAATACACAACTGTACACATCCCACATGGTTGCTGGAATTTCTGGGAGTTGAAACCCAGAATATCTGTTGGGACAAAAGTACTCCTATTTGATTCTTAATTTCTTATTTTGGAAGCAAGTAAAGTTTCTGGAAATCTTAATACACCACCCAGCTAAATTTAAATGTTATATTGCTGACTCCCCAGTTTCTCTCATATTCTTAGTCAGTCAACCCAATAACAAGCTGGATTGAAAGTATGGTATCCAAGCTAGCCAAATAGAAAATGACAGTGATAGGAGTTTGTTCTTTTGCCTGAAGGAAATTAGAACAAATGTATGAGATTCGGGTGGCAGCAATTCCCATGCAGTCAGAGCAATGAGGAATGGATGCCCGCAGAGCACTGACCTGCTAGCAAGAATGAAAGGCGTCCATATTTAAGCAGCTGTACATGAGTAGTGGAATGAAGGCTAAATGATTGTTCTGTCATTGCCATTCAGGCAGCCCATTGCAATTTGCTTCCCCCAGTAACAATGGTTTCGGTCCAAGATATAATTTCATATATTATGTTTTTCAGTCGAAGGACGAGCTCTGATGAGAAATGAAGGCCTCTGATTAGCCACAGGAAATATGTGCTGTGATGCAAGGAAAAACACCCCAGCCATTATTCTTCCTTGTGTGGTGTGGTGGTGAAATAAGTACACAATGAATTCATGTATATATAGGCATGTTGATGTGCCTCCTAACTTGCTTCTTTCATCAGCCCAATATTTGAGATAATGCAAAATGTGGTTGCATTTTTTTCTATATATTATATTATATTGTATTATATTATATTAATATTATATCTCAACTTTCCATTTCAAAGGGGCTGCTAGCAAGCATAACTAAAAACAAATAAAGTGATAATGTGAATTACTGACAACAATAAAAGGCTAGGTTGAGGTGTGTTTTCATGCTCTTCCTAAGACTAGGTTGAATTGGAACCATGACTGTGTCTCTTGAGAGGAATCATAGAATCAAAGAGTTGGAAGAGACCTCATGGGCCATCCAGTCCAACCCCCTGCCAAGAAGCAGGAATATTGCATTCAAATCACCCCTGACAGATGGCCATCCAGCCTCTGCTTAAAAGCTTCCAAAGAAGGAGCCTCCACCACACTCCGGAGCAGAGAGTTCCACTGCTGAACGGCTCTCACAGTCAGGAAGTTCTTCCTCATGTTCAGATGGAATCGCCTCTCTTGTAGTTTGAAGCCATTGTTCCGCGTCCTAGTCTCCAAGGAAGCAGAGAACAAGCTTGCTCCCTCCTCCCTGTGGCTTCCTCTCACATATTTATACATGGCTATCATATCCCCTCTCAGCCTTCTCTTCTTCAGGCTAAACATGCCAAGCTCCTTTAGCCGCTCCTCATAGGGCTTGTTCTCCAGACCCTTGATCATTTTAGTCGTCCTCCTCTGGACACATTCCAGCTTGTATATTCTTCAATCTGGGAACCCACTACTGCAAGAGTTGTTCTCAAACAAACTTCCATTATTGATACAAATAGTTCAACCCCATGCATACTCCTATGCAATGTTATATCGACTGGGTATGTTATTTATTACTTTTGGTTACATATCCCATTGTTAGATTGGGTTATGCAAAGCAGGCTAAAATAGTTATAAAGCTTACAGCCATTCCTTTTTCCAACTTTGCAATTAAAAATGGAAGACAAATGGCATATAGAAGAGAAAGAAGACTTAAGAAACAAAGCCAACAGATTTAGAAAAAAATTAAAGTGAAAAATGAGATGTAGGGCACCTTGAAAAATGGCTTCTTAGCTTCTAACCCACAGTTTGCCTCTTGGGACTCAGAAGGGATGTTATTATTTTAAGTAAGGGAAACCCCATGTAGAGTTCCTTACCATTGGCTACATTGAGCCAGAATAATGTGAGTTGGCAGCCAAAACATCTGCAGGGTCAGGATTCCCCTCCTCTGTTTCTAAGTCAAGTTATGCTTTCAGTGTGGGCAGCATTAATTCACAGATTTAAAAGTAAACTTCTTTCCCAAATGGACAATTAAATTCCCTTTTTTATAGTACAAAATGGCCATGTTATTATATGTTGTATAACATTCTCAAGGGGCCGTTTTCTTGCTTCAGTCTTGCCACTAGGTAACCAGCAAAAGATATTTCAATATGTTTATCTGGAAGGAATTAACAACATAGTCTGGTTTCCAGATATGCTATTATATATGTGTGATTCTCAAGCATTTTCATCTGTCTTTTGTATCCCCTCTTGGCAAAATGGCTCAAGACTATCTGTCTATCTATGCACTACATGTACTTAAATCCCCAAATGCTGAAATTTTGACAGGCTTGACAGTATACAAGCTCAACACTGTTAAAATCCTGACATCCTAAACATCTCCATTTGCAAGCTTAACCAATATGTGTTGCTGACTGCTACACTATAGGGAAGGGAAAGTATTTTTCAGAAAGATGACTCTAGTACTCCTATTCCCCAGAACATACATTTAAAAATCCATAACCAAAATTAGACCTCTTACCCCATCCACATGAGGATATACTGGGCTTCTGTTCTGGCACCTGATCCTACAAAATCCCCTTGCGCTGGAGTCTCCATCTCCTCCATGGTCGCATTTGGACTTGTGAGAGGTACTTTAGTAAATTTATTTTTTATTTTCTCATGCTGTGAACCTATGAAGCAAAAATTCAGTAAAAACCCTTCAAACCTTTATTTTTGGGACATTATATGTAATGGCTGTCAGGTTTCTTATTTGTTTAGTTTAAAAAGTTACGTTATGTCACTATATCATACTGTCAATAGCTTAATAAAAAAATAAAACATGTAAAATACCTGCATTTTATTTCATATGGATTCATGAACCAGGCATGATAGTATTTGGCTGGGAAGATATATTGGGAGACCCAGATCCAAAGAGCCAGAATGTTTTCCTTCAAACAATAAGTTTTCATGGCAAATGAAAAGAGTATCAAAAGCCATCTGTGGCAAGGTCAGACGTGCAAAACGAAAGCATTCAGGTCTAAAATAAAGGGTATTTGGAAATAAGAATATTAAAAACATCACGTGTCTGTACTATTGGCTTTATGTCAGGATACAATAGCCTTCAACCATGGGTTGCATGTCATTCTTGTGTAAAACATTTAAGTAGAATTTTTCACAAACTTGTCCTGTGCACCCTGCACCATAGTTTCTACACTCAGTTCTACCTGGAACTGGGATAATCTAAACCAATTGTGGGATTGTCATTGGATCCTCAGCAATTTGGACTTTAAACTCTCATAGGCCCCATCCAGTATGACTGATGGTAGTGAATTGCTGGAATTTTGTTTCAAAATATCTGAAGAGCCATAGGTTCTCAATTCCTAAGTGATTTGAACTAAGAGCTGAAGGGCAGAAAACGTAGGGTTACATTCATACCTAGTCTTTGGCCAAGGTCCACTGATGTACTTTTTCTGGATTCTGTTGCTACTACCAGAATCAATTATTACCACTTCCTTGTACTGCCCTCATATACCCTAAGCCTATACTGGAGAGTTGGAAATCTCCTCAAAACTACCTGAGCAGCTTTTTGGTACCATGGAAAACTACAGGGGAAGGGGAGAGGAATATGTTTCTTGTAGTAAAACATATGGAAGTGCATAATTGGAAATGGAAGTATGCTTTAGATCATTGGTTTTCAACCTGTGGGCCCCCAGGAGTTTTGGCCCACATTTCCCAGGAATCCCAACCAGTTTAGCAGCTGTTTGGATGTCTGGGAGTTGAAGGCCAAAACATCTGTGGACCCACTGGTTGAGAACCACTGCTTTAGATCTTGACTCTTGACTTTTCACTCCTTTCGCTAGCCTTGATCTGAAAGCCAACTCCAAGCTTTGACTTGTTAGAAGAACAAGGGAATGCTTCCTGGGATGGAATAGTTTTTCATACATTTGGTAAACAGATTGCAGTAAGGATGTAACTTACTGTAAATCTGCATTACAATACATAAAGATTTTTTCTCTCTACCTGGCCAAAAAAATGGTTCATTTAATCACTTCTACTTGTAAGAAGAACCAGGTAGGAGTGATTTAGTAGCATGCATATGTCTGCTTGCTCTTAAGTAATCAGATCAAATTTGGTATTGGGCAGAGAAAGAATATTTTGAAGGAATCTGCATTCATTCTGAAAGTTTCTAAAGAATGGTTCCTGCAAATGCATCTACAATTTCTCAGTATTTCTCTGTGTTAAGGAGATTTTTTCCCTACAACGACTTTTCAGAAAGTCAACCATAAGCCTCTGAAACATACTTTCCTCTTATATCACAAGAATCTTGTCACTGTGGAGATGTGAGTAAAAGAAAGATTGCATATTAGAAGCTAAAATTGTCCTGCGTGCGGCATTTTTGGCTGAGGCATCCAAGCTGCTGTAATTTCATTTGTGGTTTATATTGTATTTAACCAGCAATTGGAGCCAAGAAAATAATTTATAGTTTTATCTTCGAACCTGCCTTGCTTTTCTTTATTATTGGTGTAGTGTTCAGTGTGCATATAATGTTGTCTCTTCTATTTCTTTAGCTCCTCTGTTTGAAACAGAGTGCAGTTATGTAGAAGCTACACTTGAAGAGTTTCTTGCCTGGAGTGGAAGACGGCCTTCTTGCTCTTCTGGACCATTCAAGGCTTACGATTTGCATAAGTACTGGACTTATGCTGACTATAAGTACATTGCTCAGTTGTTTGAAGACAAGCCAGAGCATTTCCAGGTACAATATTACATTTGTTCTGTAAAATGTCGCAGCATAATAGGAACATTCAGAAAGCCTTATGATTATTCTGCAGCCAGTCTAGTGTAATAAAAATTGGTGTAGCATTTTTTTTTAAAAAAAAAAAAACACCTATTTGTCACATTTATAGCCAGCTTTTCTTCCAAGCGGCAAGGGTAATGTAGATAGTTCTTAATGCCTGGCTCCTAGAACCATAGAGCCAAGGGGGACATAATAGGCCAGCTACTCTTTTCAAATGCAGGGAATCTATAACTGGAATATCCTGGCTGTCTAGATTCTTCTTAAAAGACATCCAGAAATGATCTGCTAAATCATTGGTGCCATTATGTTATCATAACTTTGAAGAGTTTCTACAAATAGATCTAGTCCTGCTTTCTGGGAAAACAAGCAGAGAATAAGCTATTGACAACCATTGTGGCAACCATTCAGTGGTGCTGTGCCCCCACTCAGGCTGATTTCAAATCCAGCTATTCATATTATTTCTCCACACCACTGGATATTTTTTTTTGCCTTCCTAAACTTTTCTATTCACTGCTTAAAGTACAGTGGTGTGACAGTGGTGAGGTATTTTAAACAGAGCCAAAGTCTGTTGGTTTTGTGGCTAAGTGAAATTTGAACCTATGTCTCCTCCATTGTAGCATAACCTCCCCATTTCACAGTATGAGACATCTGTGGTTCAAGTCGCACTATCATGTGACATGAGCAGCTTCAGAGTCACCCTAACTCACACATTTAGTTACATATTTACATTTTTTTTCAAACTAAGACAGGTCCCTAACATTCTCATGGGTGCGATATTATTGTCATTTGAAGAGGGGGCTGACATGTTTCAGGAGGTTCCTTTTTCAAAACCAGAAAGCATATGTAGATGTAAAGCCAGACAAATATTTTTCCAGACATGAACACAGATGAACAATAATTCATGCTGAGCAGAATTAAGGTTGCTAATAACGGAGAGGGAATCCTTGATAAAATGATTATAATGAAATGTTACCAACAAATGCCTATTCAGATGAATGTGGAAATGCTTCTGGATCAAAATAGCAAAGCCTAGTACTTCATTTTGTTGTCTGAGAGGTGTAGGCTGCGTGCAGGGGAAAAAGTTGATTCCATACTTAGAGCTTGGGAATGTTGTTTTTGAATGAAAATGTCCAGGCTTCTTGAGTGTTGTGGTTTAAAAATATAGTGTTCCCAACTTTTGACCATACTGGTCCCATCTTAACCACAAAGTAGTGGTGCACAAAAAGCTATTTAGATCAGACCAAAAATCAGATCACAGTAAATAGTATCTGTGATGTCGGAGTTCACCAGAACTGTTACAACTAGTTAGCACTGACCAGAAGGATATTCCTGGCCTGAAAATTGGTTTCGTTATAGTGTTCTCTAGGCTTTGAAAGTTACAGAGATAAATTTTTCAGTGTTTCTTTGCCTGGCAAGAAACCTATGTCTGTTGATAACTTTTCTTTTCTTCTAACTTCCCATACTGGTATCTGCTGTTTTCATTTAGATTTTATTTAGATATTTTACTAAGGTGACTTGAAGGGTACAAGAAGGGTAGCTACCCCCTTTTTTTGTTTGGAATGATTAATAGGGCCATTTAGAAGTTGTTTGAAATTTAGATTGCACTGTTTATCATTTACAGTTGTGTGGCTTAAGGTAATGATTCCATTATTTTAATGTACGAGCAGTATCTTGCATCTTCCCGGACTTTTTGTTCACTTGATATTACATTACAGAATTTTGAGGTATAAATCAGAGGCAAGATATATGCATGAAGTTTAAATAGAAATGAGACCTCTTAAAGTGACATATGGGTATATTAGCTCCATTGTAAGCAGCAAGCAAAATAAATGTAATTCAGAAGTAATGTGCCATCTGTTATGGTTGGGGTACTTATAAACTACATTTCTTTCAGCTCTGGATCTTTTTTATTGTATAAAAGAAAAGGGAAAAAGCAGTCCTTTGTGTCAGGATTTTAGTACTTACCAATTCCTTTTCAGATCATTGGGTAAAAACTATTTTGCCCATAATCACATCAGGTATTTGCTGTGGCTGAAGCATTTTCAAAATAAGCTCTTTTAAAAATCTAATATTGATTATATTCACTCTCTTTCTTCTTAAGTTGCAACCGAACAGAGAAACTACTTAGGTGTGAGATTAAAGTGTAGGGATGGTTATTACCTTTAACTTTATCACCGAAATAGTTATATTGGATTTTAAATTTTATGGCCGTGGAAAGCTGGAGGAGCAACTTTTCCTTTGTGGTTTCTTGACGCTTCTGAAAAATGTTTGTATTAGACTTCTGTAATTCTTTCTGTAAATCAGGTAAGCTCCCAGCATTATTTCATTCACTTACAAACTCATCTTGATGATTCCTTAGTATTGAATGTTGGAAAGAGGGATGCTACCTTCAGAGAATTTAAAATACCTTATAGAGGGTTAGCTTCATTCAATTTTTTTTAGCGTGCAAGTGTTCATTCCTGAATCTAGATATAAGCAATCTAGAAGAGTCCACTCTATAAAGTAGACTATCTATTCCCAAAATTTTCAGTCATGGAACTTTTTTTTCTCCCACAGAAGCCTAACTCTTTCCCTGATTTTCCCACAAAACCCAAACTCTGTTCCAAATTTCTTCCTTTTTTCATCTACTCCAATTGCTTGAGTGTTTTGTATAATATATTAGGTTTGGAAATAATGAGAAAACATGAAATATAACCAAAAACTTTTATTTTGATGCAAGAAAATGTTGAAAGTAATCACAGATCTTTATTTTGATACGGGAAATTATTGGATTCACACCTAAAGTGTTGAATGAAATTGTTTAATTTTTGTACTTAAAATAGTATTGAAATTGGGTGTTATGTCCAACATTTGAATTTGTAATTCCAGAGTGGTATCCAACTCACGCCTAAATTTGTTTTTAATGTAAGTTGAAAAACCTGATTCACATCAATAGGTGGATATGAATGAGAGTAGGGATTGGCTAGCCTTTTCAGCTACTGACAGCCATACATTTATCATTCCTACCGAAAAGTCATTCAGTGGCACAGATTCAATTTACTTTTTAAAGCAGAAGTATAGGCACTCCCCGAGTTATAAACATGTGACTTACAAATGACTCATAGTTAAGAACAGGGTGAAACAACAGAAAGGGAGAGAAATCTCCCCCTCAGAATGAAAAATTGCTCCTGAAAGAGCTATCATGAGGATAAGAGGGAATCTCCACTTCTTGTTTCCACAAGAAGCCATTTTTTTTCAAAACCCAATGATCATAGGGACAGAAAGTGAGATGAAATCTTCTGAAGATTATATGTGAGGCATCTTCATATGTACATATTTTGCTCTGGGGAGGATCGACCCTTTCTTCTGTTTTTTAAACATATATCAGAGTACTGGCCTGTGAACAAATTGATAATTGACCAACTGTTGTTTGGGATAAATAATAGTCATGGTTTTAGATGATGAGGCATTGAACCTAATGTCTATTAGATTGATAGTACCAGCCAGGATAGCACAGAGAGGAATTAAAATGTCCAAGTATACAAAACCAAAGAGATATGTAAATCAAATACCTAAGGCCAACGTATATAAATCAAAAGTACACCAATTTTCACAACTTCTCTTTAAACAGAGTTGAGTTCATTCTGATAACTCAGGATAATGGTTTCTTCTAATATAGTGAATTCTACTGTTTAAATAATATATGTTTGTACCACAAAGAACTGGAATATTTCTGTCTTTTTAAAAAACAAATATGTCTATCTTTCCTCTCACCTTCTGTTAGTCTTATAAATGTAATAGGTTCCCAAGAGAATTAAGTGAATGATTGCTTAAATATTTAAATAGGCCTTTTCTTCCCCATCTGAGTAAGCCAAAATGAAGCTGTCATTTTCCGTTTTTCTCCCCCAGCCCCAATTCAGGTTCTGTTCATCCCAAACTTGGAGGATTTTTCCACTCTTAATGTTGATTCATCCCAGACTTTAAGAGTATTCGTTTTTACATTTATGGAAAAAATCATCTACCTTTTTGTGTGCAGTTCTCCTGATATTTTCTTTTTTATACACAATTTTGCTTCAGATCCATAATTTTACAAGTCATTTTTAATGCATTTTGGACATTCTTTTTGATTATATGTTCATTTTTGCGTGCATGTATTTTTCTCTGAGATATACTTTTGTATTTTTTTTAAAAAAATAGGAACTTTGTTTCAGATTCAGAGAAGTTCAATTTCAGCAGATAACTGGGTTTCCATTCATATGTTGGTTCAAAAAAGTGAAACCAGATAATGTGAACTAGACAAATTTCTCCCCATCTCTAGTCATGATTTGTCTATATCCTCATGCCAGGATACATTTTTTTAAAGGAGGCTCACATTTCACATAGTATTCTCTTAGTATATTGCTCTGTTTGGGGATCTGCATATCTAAAGCACTATGTTCTACTGCATAATCCTCATTGAGCTTTCCCTGAGGCTCTTCCATCTAAAACTAAATGGATGGTGACCAAACAGACCAAACAGAGGACCTATGCAATCATAGCAGTCAGTTTATGGAAATCCTTCTCCATGGCACCTTGAATGGCATCAGTTGTGTTTCTTTCTCAGTGCCAAAGAAATTTCTATTTGTTTGGTTTTCCAAGCTTGGAATATGAATATGGTTGATCAGGATTTATCCTCTCTGCTAAATTTATACTAAGTTCAGGATGATCTTTTAAAGCTTCGGTTGTGTTTCATTGGTTTTAAAATAATTTTCTTATATATGTGTGAACATGGTCTCACGTTCCCTGGCAACGTATGGCCAGCCTATGAATTTCATATGGCAAGGAATATCAAGAGGTGGTTTTACCAGTCCCTTCTTCTGAAATATAGCTACAACAAATGGTATTGATTGGAAGCCTCCCATCAAAGTACTAACAAGGGCTGATCCTGCTTAGCTTCTAAGACCTGAAAATTCACAGAATGTTAGCCCAAAATATTTTAAATAGAGAAGTAAAATATACTCAAATGGAACCACCAAAATAGTTAACAAGATGTATGATGTTAGTTAATTTATCTAAAGTTTAATATAGTCTTAGACTTCAGTATTAAGTGACATTTTATGTAAGTATGAGAAGAACAGTTGAAAAGCATATGGCAAACTTCTGTAGCAATTAGGGAAAATTACTATGCCATACCTTTCTAGATTTCAGACTAAGAATTAAGGTTATAGCTAAATTGAGCACTTACCTGCATAAGATAAGGTAGATATTTCTCAGACCTGAAGAATCACTTTCATTTGAAAAACAAACAAATTAGAATATATCAGCCTATTAAGCATAGCCAGACATAGTGTGGACTAAAAGGAGTAGACACAAACATTTGCATCACCCCATGCCCTGTATTATTATTATTATTATTAGTAGTAGTAGTAGTAGTAGTAGTAGTAGTAGTAGTAGTTTTTGTATCCTCCTCCTTCTCTCGCAAATCAGATTCAAAGCAGGTCCAAAGGAGACTCAAAGTGCTTGTATAATGGATTATGCACGAACTCTACATGTAAACCCTATGTATGCATTACCAGAGATCAGGGATTTTAATGGAGCATTCTAAAACCGGCCAGGAGAAAAGTGAATAAAGGTCTGTCAAAAGTAATCAGCTGATAATGCCTGTTTTACAGGGTAAGGACACTTTGGCTAAGTGAAAGTCAGTCATTGTGGATAGATCAGAGATTTTTGTATGGCACCCAGAGATCTACCAGTATATCCCAGTCTACTTTCCAACATCTCTTTTCATAAGGTGTTGTGACATCTTATGAATTGATAACTGTTTAAAAACTAAAGAAGGAAGATTATGAAAATATTAAGATATTTTTATTAACAGGAGTTCAACTGCATTTGTTTGTACTGTGACAGCAGCTTAACTTAATAACATATAATGAAGGAAGAGAGGTTGACCATTATTGTAGCCATGATTTTAACACATGATTCATGATGATAAAATCCCAAACAGACTAAACAATCATCTTGATTTTCAAGATGGAGTGGTGCATGAAATTCAGTAATGAAGTGCAGCAGGGTTATGTTGGAACAAATGAACCTTGTATCACATGCCAGTGATGGATTTTGAATTGGCAATATCTGCGTCAGAGAGTTCTTGAGGTCATTTTGGGAGACGTAGTGTCATCAGCCCAGTTTGCTACTGTTGACAAATGAGTTGGCAAAGTGTCAAACATTGTTGAAAAAGCTATTGAAATAGGTTACCGTTCTTGTTATATACTGTCAAGCCGAATACAGTGATCCTATCATAAGGTTTACAAGACAAAATGTATGAAAGAGGGGTAAATTCCCATTGCTTTCACTGCTCTCATATGTTGAAAAACTATGACTACTCAAAGGTCACCCAGCAGATTCCCATTGCAGAGTGAGGATTCAAATTTTAATTTCTTATTATAGCACTCAAACCAGTATACTATACTGGCCCTCAGATTAGTATTGTGATTACACAAATTGGTAACCCTGTTCAGATGCCAGGATATCCTGAATACATAGGGGAAAGGTGCAGGTTAGTCCTGCTTTCTAAACCTTATTTGTTTTCACATGTGGAAAACAGTCTCCACTCTGCATGGAGGCTTGCTCACATGGTCAGTGGTTCATAATTGTGTGGAAAGGCTGTACATATAGAGGACAAAAGTCCTCTTCAAACTTTGTTCTTCCGACGGAGAAAACAACAGTGGAGGCAGGGAGAGATAGCCTGTCTCCTCTTTCCACAAATGTAGGTTAATGCTGTCTCAAGCCCCTGAAAGAATTTATTACATTTTTGCATTTGGATGGTTTGGTGCTTCTAAACAAGTATGTGGGCAGAGTTGGAGGTTTCAAGTGGAGTCTGTTCTCTTCAGTATTTTGTCAGTGGCTTAGTTGATGGGGTGGATGGAATCTTCATCAAGTTTGCAGATTATGCAAAATTGGTAGTTTTAGGTAACACAGTGGAAAATAGGGACAGGGATTTTAAGGGACCTAGATAAAATAGAAAACGGAATTGAAATTAATAAAAGTTCACCAGAAACAAATGAAAATTCTATATTTAGAATAAAGCCAAATGCACAGGTATAGGATGGGGGATACTTAGCAGTACTATATATGAGTACAGTATTAAGTTCTGGAGTACTATATTCAGTTCTTGATGCCCCATTTTAAGAAGGATATAGACAGGTTGGAGTAAGTTCAGAGAAATTCAATGAGGAAAAAAAATGAGGCATGTATGAAAGAAAAAATATATATGAGACAAGTTGAAAGAGCTGGGCATATTCAGTTTGATGAAAAGGAGATTGAAGGGTGACATGATCATACTCTTTAAATAGTTAAAGCATGTCACAAAGAGAAGGCTCCTGATTTGTGCCCTGCTGCCCCAGAGGGTAAGGCCAAGTCTAATGGTTGAAGTTAGAGGTGGGTAGAATTTTGATTATATATTAGAAGGAACGTTTTAACAGTGAGAACAATTTAGCAATGGAACCAATTGATTGGGGAGGTGGATGTTTTGAAAAAGAGCCTGGACAGCTGCCTGCAGGGATGTTCTAGTTGGAAATCCTGTATTGGTCAGGGTGGTTGAACTTGATGATTCATTAGGCTTCTTTCAACTCTATGATTATAAGAGATGCCCTTCGCAAAAGCCACTATGTTAGCACTTTCTTCTATAAAGAAACCCTTTAAAATCAGTCTTTTATTATATATATATATATGTGTGTGTGTGTGTGTGTGTGTATGTATATATATATGACCACCAGTGATGAAGCCTAACTAATTTAACATAGTTGAGCATAGTATGTTGCAATGTACTTTGATATTTTTTGCACAAATTCCAAACCTCTCATCTTCCTTTAAAAAAAAAAAGCTTTGGCAGGACACCTCTTTCTCTTCTGTTGTCCTTTTAATTTGGACATTCCTTTGGCACTGGTTTTATAAACTATTTTCCAATTGATTAAAAAAAACCCACACACATTACATTTAATGTTCTTGGCAAAAATTGCATGCTTTCGCCACAGACTTCACCCAATATCAATAGAACAATTTCCTACCCAATGCCAAAGGAACCATTTCACTGAAAGGATTCTGCCTTCGAAAATAATTGAATTGACTTTCTCCTGGTCTTCAGCCAAGTAGCTACCTGTCCTCCTGCACTTTGAATCCAGATTCATAGATGCTGATATACCTGGTGGTATTGAAGGTTATTTGACAACACTGGCAGATTCATCTTGTTCAATTTATTAAAGTATCTGTAACTGTTTTATGGATATGTTCTTTGAGATATACTTTTGTTGGCTTGAATCCTAACCGGATGCCCATGAATGTAAAGGATTCCTTCTATTCATAGATGAGATTGAGATACAGCAGAGTTTTTTTTTCTTGCTTTTTGAAACCAGCTATTTCTCCAGCTGTTCCATATTCTTCTTGCCTTTTAGAGCTAAATTTGAGGAAACCAAGAGGCTGCAGTGGAGATCAGTAAAAATTGTCCTCCCACTTATGTGTTTGAGCCAAACATATTCAGAGGACATGCCAGTTGGGGTAAATTTGGGAATCACGGCAGTGTAAATATATGATATATTCTATATCAGTACAAGTCAATCATCTTTTTTTCAAGGAAAACATCAAGGGCAAAATGGTGGTGGTATTAATTTCCCCTCAAAAAAGGCATTTTTTTAAAAAAATCATCAAACCAGCTAGAAATGGTGCTTTGAATGCAGTATCCCTGCTTCTTGGCAGGGGATTGGACTGGATGGCCCATGAGGTCTCTTCCAACTATATGATTCTTTTCTATGATTCCATGACATTAACAATGGCCTCCCAATACTAGAAATTAGAGCTGATCACTCATCAAAGTGAGATGACATTTTGCTTATTAATTTTCTCTCTTTTTCAAAATAAGTTCCAAGAGATTTTGGATATAGCCTGTTATTGGTTTCTTCAATCAAGGGCATTAAAGAAATAGTGGAATTAATCATTATGTTTCTTATACTTGTCATACAATGAGCAGTAGGAAAAATATAGGCAACAATTTTGTCATGTAGCTACTCTAGACCTGTGATTAATTTCTTCGTATCATAAATCAGGATGATATAGAGAACCCATACACATGATCAACTGCTTGGGAGAGAAACAGCTTAGTCATTTGTATCATGACGTGAGATAAAATGGTTATCCATAGATGCTTTTCACAGCTTGCTTCATGTGTGAAGACACAGAGGAAATTTGCAACTCACCCAATGGTTTATCTGAATGATGGACCACAAAGAGCTATTGGTAGTTGAGTGAGGTGGAATGTAAATAGGTTTAAAACCTATTTTCTCTTCTTTAAATGTTCACCTCCACTTTCTCTAAACCTGATTTTGAAGTGTTTATATACCTCACCTGATTTTTTCCAATGACACTTATACCATAAAATAGTGTATTATATGTATGAACAGGTGTAACCCTCTGGAGATTTTGAACTACGGCTACCATAATCCTTTCTCCATTGGCTATGCTTGCTCAGGCTGATGGGATTTGTAGCACACACACAAAAACATCTGAAGGGCCATAGTTGCCCAGGTATGATAGAGCTTTCTGAAGAATGTAGAGAAAACATGGAGATGGAAGATCTCCATCTTGACTTGATATTCAAAATGCTGTTTTGTTTCAACCCTCTGTTCACAACAGGATGTAATATGGTCTGATTTTGGATTTGAGGGACGCAATGGAAGAGATAGTACTTTGTGGATTGGCTCAAGAGGAGCAAACACTCCATGCCATTTGGACTCCTATGGCTGCAATTTAGTGCTACAAGTACAGGGAAGGTAAGGAGAAACATTGATATCTCTATCGTAAACACAAGTGATTCCCAGTGTTCTTGTCTTTCAACTGTTTAATTAATTATTTATTTCACTCATGCTTTTTTGTGCTCTGAAATCCCAGGCTTATTATTAAGAAACAGTAATGGCAGCCAGGGGGAGTTGTCATTTTATAGCTGTGTTTGTTGTTCATGTAAGAGCTTGTGAAATTTGGAATAAGTAGATCAGCTTATTCTGTACACACTTCTTGTTTACACTTCACTATGGAAATTCCAGTTTCCTCCAGAGCAGGTTTTGCATTAGATAGATGAATATCTGATTCATGGCATAATGTTAGCAGCTGGGTCTAACACAGTGATTTGTCCTCCTGAATACTATTTGTTATTGTTCCCTTCCTTGATGTTCAGGGAGAGATGAGTAAGAAATATGTAGGAATAGGAGTAGTACAAGACATAGTATGCATGTGTCATTCTCAGAGACTCCGTGCATGCTCTGCTTATGTAGATGGCAAATTGCTGATCCAGTCTACACAGCCTACACAGTCAGGGATACAAGCTTCATTTGTCAGCTACCACATAATCAGCAGGCTCAACTACTGACTTACTATTTGGAAAAATATGGGCCAGTCCATCAAATGTATTCTTTCTACTCCACATCTCTTAAAGTGGTTTGCATTCCCCCCCCCCCTTTCTTAGACCTCTCCATTTTGTTTACCTGAAACCTCTTCAGTATTGGAAATTCAATAAATTAGATTAATGCAGGTGGTCTGCATCTAGTCAGCAATGCATAAAAACTCCCAGGTAGTTTGACTGTTGCTTACAGGGATGGTATTCCAAATCCTTACTTTTGGAGTTTTTATTTTCTATGTAATTCGTTTTAAATGACTACTTTTATAATTAATTATTTTTTTACTGGTGAGAAGGGATAATGCCACCCTGTAACTTTTTTTACTAAAGCTAAGGTAAGAATACCATACTGTCCAAAGGCTAGTTCATGCAGTTCTGTTGTGCCAGTGCGCCATCTGGGGTGGTGGGCAACAGTAAAGTGGACAGAAGGAAGATGTGCATTCTGCCAGCTCAGTGGCTTCTTATAGTCAGGTATTTTAACTGGCAAGCATCCACTCTACTTTTGAGAACAAAAAAAAATTAAAGTAATTGCTTACTTTTTAAAAAGCCAACCTATCTAGTATGACAATGTGCTTTTATGAGATGAGGCAACTTAAAGCTTTTTGCAGCATTTTTCAACATCTCTGTAATAATGTCAGAGTACTATGACTCCCATTTCTAATAATTTCCAGCACAAGATTTGTCTTTTTCTCTATTGCTGTATACTAAGTTGCTGTTCTTATTGAATTGCCTATTGAAGATATCCGTAATTAGTACCTCAGAAGCTCTTCCTGGTGTATGTATGGCATTTTGATTCTATCCTCCGAGCCCAAGTCCCTTTCAATTTGCTCTTTTGTAAATAGAATAGAGTATAATAGCTTTATTTGTCATTGTGCTATTGCACAACGAAATTACATGACTTACCCTGCATATACTACAAAGCAACACACTCATCCCTCTACACCCTTCCACCACCACATAGCTCCCAATGCCACATCAGTGTGAAACCATGGAGTTCAAGATACCCACAGCTCTAGGAAAAAAGCTATCCTTTAGTCTATTTGCTGGTGTCTTTGTCACAAAATGATGTGTGCTGAGGGAAAAGCAACAGCATAGAACTAGAAGCCAGAAAGTTTAAATGCCCTTGCTATTTTTATGGTTAATTAATTTCAATGAGACATGCTCCCATGTGTGTGGATATGGGAACCTTAATTTGCTTTCAGAGGTAGCTCTTTTCCCCCCCTGATGATTATCAATAAAAATGAGAGGCTGCCACTCCTTCAGTGATGATGTTGCTGTTCTTAAATTCTATGAATTTGCTATGTGGGCTGTTACTTTAATTACTTTTGATTTTATTCCCACTCAGAATAAATTCTCCTTATAGAATTCTTCTTATGTGCCTGTTTGCCCTGCCCTGCCTTTTACAATTCTGCATTATACATAAACACACACTGTTTTAAAATACTTTCTAAAAGGATTATAAGCCAAGATCCCAAGATATCTGATGTTAACTTAACAATCACAGTACGATCTAGAGCATAATTACCTGGGTGAAATGCCATTGAACAAAGAGAGACCTCTTTCCAGTTAAACACGTATAAGAAGGTGTTCTCTACTACATGAGATGAAAGATGTCACAATAAGCTAGGACTCTGTAGGAATGCCAGCTTTACAGAGGATGAACCACCTTGTGCAATTGCTACCATTTGTAGCAGGGGCAGCGAAACAAGCAACCAGTTTTGGGCCTATATTTTGTTCATGGTGACATGTGAATTCATAAGGAAGCCAGCTCTCTAGCTTGTTATCTTCTAGACAAGCAAGATAAACACTGAAGAAATCTGTGGATTATTGGGAGACCAAAAGGCTATGTGGGCTCAATGCTAGAGATATAAATTATACCTACTTTTCTTCTCAAAGGAGCAACAAATAATTTTAGCTGTTTTTTTCTTCTTTTTATGAGAAAATCTTTAAGAATTGCTCATTTTTCAAAGACTATTCACAGTCCAGGACGTGTCCAGCACAACATTCACACATGGTTGTTTTGCACAGAATATACAGTTATCTGCACATAAAACCATCTTTTTTAATATGCACAGATGATGTTCTTTTCCATGCAAAAAAAATATCCAAATTTGAATTTTGTGCTAAATATATCTCCCACTATTCTGTATTCTTCCTATCTCTAATTCACGTGTCATAGTAAGCAAATCAGAGGACAAAATATTTGCAGATTCTTGAGACATTGCTGCTGCAAGTGGAAGTGATTAGCTGTATGTACCAGCAGGTTGGCTCGTTCACAACAAGCTGGATTCATATTTAGTGCCAGATCTCGTGATGTTCAGATGCGGCCCCTTTGTCTGTCTAATACAGTATTGTCTCCTCCATATAGTATTGACTCTTTGGAGTCTCAAGTGAAGAATCACATTTGCTTTCTGAAACTTTGAAGATGACATACTAAGGGTTTTGAAATCTGACCTTCTGATTGCACAATACAGAGTTATAACTAGAGACTGCACATGGAAGCCACTTAAATGATAGACTCCTTGCCTCCTGGCAGAAAGAGAAGCAGCCTATCCTTATGATCAGAACAGAAACTAGGATTTTCATATTCAAAATTTGGAAAAAAAATTGCTCTGTTGAAAAGCAGTTCAAGAAGGTACTCAATGTCAAAGCCTTAAAGAGCAAAGCTCTGCTGTCTTAGACATGAAGCATTGTCTGAGAGCTAAATTCTGTCCATCTTCTCTTTTGGGGTGAAAGCATGATAGCTGTATCCTGCAGCATAAAAAACAGATTAGCGCCATACTTTGCTGAACACATCTGAGTATAACAGCTAAGTAAGGTAAAGGTTGTCCCCTGACATTAAGTCCAGTCATGTCTGACTCTGGGGTGTGGTGCTCATCTCCATTTCTAAGCCGAAGAGCCAGCATTGTCCGTAGACACCTCCAAGGTCATGTGGCCGGCATGACTGCATGGAGCGCCGTTACCTTCCCGCCAGAGCGGTACCTATTTATCTACTCACATTTGCATGTTTTCGAACTGCTAGGTTGGCAGAAGCTAGGGCTGACAGCGGAAGCTCACGCCGCTCCCCGGAATCGAACCTGCGACTTTTCGATCAACAAGCTCAGCAGCTCAGTGCTTTAACCCACTGCGCCACCGGGGGCTCCACAACAGCTAAGTAGGATGGGTTAATACTTGAATGGGACTTACCACCAAGTATTTTAAGGAAGGGGCAGGAAATAATCCTGTCTGTAGCCTCAGACATCTGCTGCCAGTTGACAGTACTGGGCTAGGTGGGCCTATGGTGTAACTCAGTGCAAGACAGCTTCCTATGGGCCCCACAAAAACATTGGAAGAGGAAGTGCCTGCAATCAGAGAAAAAGAAAAACTAGTTATCATGCATGTCTTAATTATGTGAAATATGGTAATCTGGGACAAATACTTTAAACAATGCATTCGTAGCTGGAAGTTCCCAACAATTACGCAATGAATTCTATCCTTGCTTCCCTGTGATGAGCCAGTCTGTTCATCCGTTTGGAAAATTTAATTGTGAGAAGACTTCAAACTGACTCCAATATTAAATTCAGTACCCAGTGGGTTCGTCAAAGATAAAGGCACTACTGAGTCACTGTCATTTGTTGTATGCATTTGTCTCCTTTCACAGCAGTTCCCAAGCAAAATCAATCATGACTCATAAAGAATGTGAGAGTGTTCTTTTTCACCAAATCCTCTTTTTAAAAAGTTGCTTAACTGTTTATTGTATTGTGTTACATAATTTTTTTTTACTAGTTCCCTCTAACACTGGGTTGATTGTACTGATAATATGCTTTGCAAACAAAAACAGTGAGATTCACCATTTTTGTTTCCAGGAAAAGGTGGTATCTCTATCCTCCTGAAGATTCCAGTTTTCTTTGTCCTACCAGATTTCCCTATGAAGAGTCCAGTGTTTTCAGCAAAGTCAACGTAATCGATCCTGATTTGAGAAGTTACCCACAGTTCAAGAAAGCACAGGCCCATGTAATGACGCTTGAGCCTGGCCAGGTAATTTCTGAATTGTTATTTTATTCTAAATCGGAACTTTCTTTAAATATGAAACAGGAAGATGAGGGATGACAAACAAATAAATCAAGACAATCAAAACTTGAAAACTTATTTTCTAGGAGTACAGCTGTCAGATTTCTTCAAACAGCATTACTATGACTATGGTGCTTTGGAGGATTCTGGGAGATATAGCACCACAAAATATCTTTTTCAAATGGGGGGGGGGGGAAAATGTGGGGTCTATTTTTGTTTTCCCAGTCATGTTTTGTTTTAATTCTGTTTCCTGACTAGTGAAATCCTCCTGGTTCATGTTGTTTAACTTGCCTTTCAAGTGATAACAGCACAGTGTGAGGTAGCATATAGAAAACAATGCCCATTTTTACTGATATTTACAGGTAAGCATTGCTGAATCCTGTATTTTGTAGGCTTATGGGGAATGTGCCATGGTCTATCTCTGCTGCAAAACCAGTGACTTACAGAATGTGTATTTAATGAATAAGTGTGCAGAGTAAGCAAAGAGGTCTCGCTTAACACTTTCATGGTGATGGATAGCTACCATAATGGAAACACTTGCCCAGCAGCTACATCACTTGTATTTACAATATGCATTAGTCTTTCAATGGAGGCTCTCAGAGTACCTTTAACAAGGTCATGTGAAAGTTGATTAATCATATTTTACAGGGGAGGAGGCTGCAATAATTGAATAGCAGCCTAGTGAAGGATTTCTCAATTTGCCCATACGTCCGATCTCAGCACTCTCCAACAACATGCTTCATTTCAAAGTAATTCAGATGTGATTTCTGCTTTCTAGAGTTGCCCATTTGTTTGTTCTGTCTATAACTTCTATTGGAAAAATGAGTGGAATTACACATCTCCACCTAACTTAACATTTTAGTTTAAGTCTCCCCCAGGGTTCTCTCTCTCCTAATCTCTGTCCCCCTCTGCTCCTTTTTCGCTTTTACCTCTCTCTCCATTCTGGTTACCCATTCAGCTTCTGCTGTCTTTGCCTGTGTTGAAAACTCTTTGTGTCAGTTCACCCAAGTGCTGTTCACCCTCTCCCTTTCAGTCAGGTATTTCCCTATCTCCATCCTTTCAGCCTTTGTGTTACTGAAACTTCTTCCTCCATTGTTACCAGGCAGCAGATGTTGGATCAGAGAGTCAGTCTCACCCTCGCAGTTACGTTACTCTAGTTCCCAAAACCTAGGCTTTCACATTTCCATAATATGCAAAACATGTGGAAGGATTGTGAAAGAGTTGATGAACATGCAGACACACAGTTGAGTTCCCATTCACAAGCACTTGTTTGACATTGGTTTGTAGGGAGAAAACAGTGCACAACCAGCCGCCCAAGGTATTTTGAGCTATCCTACGACACCCATTTACCATGTATCCCTTTTTCTTTTAATAGCTGTAGGTGGTGCTGGTATTGAACAAGTATATGAATTGAAGTTCCACAAAGTTTGAGATTCAACTTGAGGCATGTTAGGTTACCCATTGGTACTGTTGTTCCATCATTGGCATCACAGCATGCTACTTTTCCATGGTAAAACAATATTTGTTGTTTATATCATGCCTTTTCCCCCAGTTGGAGATCCAGGGCTGCTTACTGCAATTAAAACCAAGCACAGATAAAAATTCACAGTATACAAAAGTTAAAGAGTAATTAAACTATCAAAAGATGAAAATCAATTAAAAACATAAACCATTGCACATGAATAAAAAACAGCATGTTATAGAAGACCTATTTCCCTTTGAAACAATCATTTCTTAAAGGCCTGCTGAAATAAAAGAGGTTTTAACTTGCCTCTAGGAAGATGGTAAAGAGGGTGAAGATCTCAAAACAAAGGAGAATCGGGTCCTTCAAATAGCCTGAACCTTTATAGGTTATGACCAGCACTTTAAATATTATGTAGACGTGGATTGGCAGCTAGTAAAGCGGTTGCAGCAAGGGAGTTGTATGCTCCATGTAGCCAGCCCGAGTTAACAATCTAGCTACAGCTCTTTGGACTAGCAGAAACTTCTAAACAGTCTCCAAAGGCAGCCCCACATATTGTGTGTTACAGTAATCCAAACTGGAGGTAACTGAAGCATGTGTCATCATGGCTAGGTCTGCTGTGTCAAGGAACAAGTTCAGCTGGTACTCAAACCTTAACTAATCAAATGAATTGATGGCCAGTGCTGAAATCTGAGATCCCAGGCTCAGGGTTGAAATCAGGAGTGTACCAAAGCTGCGCACTTGCATCTTCAGAAGGAGCATGGGCTTATACCTCATCTGCCTTTCAATTGACCAGGAGCCCAACTGTCTTGTCTCGATTAAGTTTCAATTTGTTTGCCTTCATCCAGTCCATTACTGATATCAGACACTAGTTTAGAACCAAAATATCATTTTTGGATTGAGGTAAGAAGTAGTAATAAGAAATGAGTGTCATCCTCATATTGATGCCACCAGTACAACCTCTCTCAGAAGAGGAATTTTCACAGTTAAACGAACATTATTATTATTATTATTATTATTATTATTATTATTATTATTATTTCCTAATAATTCAATAGCAATTCCAACCTAGAATTTAAATAATTACCAACGACAAACATCTTGGAGTAATAAATCTACCAAGATTAAATCATTCCATTTATATTTTAGACTGATAATAAAAAAAATCTATTAGTAGTAATTAAACGTTGCTTTGGTTACAAACCCTACAGATGATCCCAGCTCCACGTTCTCTAGGTACCTTCAGCAGCAGCATTCTTTGCTGGAGTCATTTTGGATCTCACCTTGGAAGACTAATCACCTGATGTTCTTGAGGAATATTCTTCAGCAATAGCAGCCTTCATGGCTGAAATCAGTGAGGGCCTGCTCTCCCCAGACAAGTGGAAATTGACCGGTCAAAAGACCAGCATCTAGGATAACAGTAGGTAAAATTTGGGTGTACATTCACACATGTTCCTCAGTGTTACCTTGGGAGCCTTTACCCACTCCAAACTGTCTTTTTTTGATGATCAAAACAAAAGGATGAACTGTTTCTCATAGAGGCCTCTGAAACTGGCAGTTTGCCTCTTTAATAGGCTGCATGACTGTTCTGGATATCTGGCTACTTTTTTGTGCAGAGTGGTGATAGTGGTGGGTTTTGGGTTTTTTTGTTTGTTTGTTTGTTTGTTTTTTGGTTTTTGGTTTGTTTGTTACTTTTGATTTGGACTCCAGACTTTGCACACAATCCCTGGTCTCAGAAATCCTTTTTTCCCAACAGACAATAGGAGTTTGGAATTGTTGCATGTTTGGATTGTGTTTTTGTGACCTCAAAACCTGGCTTTTCCGTTGTGCTTTCAGAGAGTAGTCACGCAACCGTATGCTATTGCTCCCCTCAACATCTCTGTTCTTGGAGTACTCATCCCCCATTTATATGAATGCCCATTTTTACAACCCCACTCTTTTATGTGCTCTCCCATATAAATAATCTGCCTCTCCTTATCTCACCCTGAGTTTTTAGTGTTTTATCTTGCACATGTCATTGTAATTGTGGATATTGTATTTTATATTTTGTGTTGCTTACTGTATTCATTTTTTTGTATTTTATTGAGTTGTTGTGTGTGTTTGTGTTTTATTTTATTGTAATTATTGTTTGGGCATGGCCTCATGTAAGCCACCCTGAGATGGTGGCTGGGTATAAATAACATTTATTATTATTATTATTATTATTATTATTATTATTATTATTATTCCTCAACCATGCTGATGAATTTCAGAAAATACATTTTCTAGGCTTATTTCCTCATGTATTTCCCATTTTCTCTTCCTCCCTATCGCCAAGCAGGTAGCCTAGTTCCACCCACGTTTGCTATCGCAATTCGGATGAAGCCTGTGGCTTCCTCCTCTTGAGGTGATCCCGACTGTAGAGCTCCCTTCTCAGGATTCTGGTTTCTACCTTTTTATGTTAGATTCAGTGGGGCACTGCAGACAATTTTTAATGAGTTATCATTAATCATTCAAGTTTTGAAAACATTACATATCTGTCCCTACACATTTGTAGGTTTAACTTCTGCAGATTTTATTATTTGCGGATATGATTAATAAATTCAATCATGAATCTAGAGAGAAGTTGGTCACTAACTCTAGCGGGATCTAGAGAGAACACTTCTCTAGATATTTGTAGGTCCTCCAGAGTGACTTCTTGCAGAAACTAACCACAAAATCATGCTTACAGACCTAAAGATTCCTAGAGAGGTATTCCCACAGGTTTTAAAAAATAGTGTTTTTTATTTGTGGTTTTTCTTTTTCTGAGGATGTCACTACCTCTAACTCTCCCAAAATGTGGAGGGCTGACTGTAACCCTGAGGGTTGCCTTCAATGCACACCATGTTTAATACATCAGAATTTCATAGTCTTTGAGCTTTAGTGGAGACAGAAAGGTAGATATAAGTGGGCTTCTTTTCTCTGGCTATTGTCCTATACTGCTTTCATAAAATAAGCCTCATGGCGCCCAGTGGGACTAATTTCTGAGAAGACATGTCCTGGAGTACACTCTTACAGCACATAATGCCTTTGACTACATAATATATAATCATATATTTCTATTCCATACAGTGTGGTCATTGTTTTACCAGTGCCAGATATTAAATGAATTGACTTCCACATTGTTTTTTCTCCTGTAACAAAATGTTCTTGTAACTGATTTAATAGTTTAGGATATTTTTGTGGGGGGCAGAGAGTTTGGGGAGTGTTTAAAACATAAATAGCAGTAGAGCACCGTATTGCATTAAGGTTGGGAATTTAATGCAGGCAGTCTGTTTCAGTGATTAGGAATGGTAATGAAGCAATAGTATCACTATTTTTAATTAAGTTTAAACTAATTAGAAGTCAAATCCTGTTAAGAACAGAAGGCCACTTCTTGCCATTCTCTGGAGTGCTACTGAACAAAGGAGACACTGATATAGATTTTTATCTCCCGTTTGCTGACTGGGCCGACAGCAAAGAGCATGCTCACAAGTACTGCATGGCC